TGGATGGGTGTGTGGATGGATGGATGGATGTGTGGATGTGTCGATGGATGGATGTGTGGATGGATGAATGGATGTGTGGATGGATGGATGTGTGGGTGGATGTGTGGGTGGATGGATGGATGGCTGTGTGGATGGATGGATGGCTGGGTGGATGGATGGATGGCTGTGTGGGTGGATGGATGGATGGATGTGTGGGTGGATGGATGGATGGCTGTGTGGATGTGTGGATGGATGGATGGATGTGTGGGTGTGTGGGTGGATGGATGGATGGTGTGTGGGTGGATGTGGTCTGTTGACTGTAGCACATAGGAAGCTGAAGTGTTTAGTGATCTCTGAGCGTCTGCAGTCGTCAGCAGCAGTGAGGGAGCGGCTCGTTTGTCTCCTGTGTTTCTCCATCAGCAGGAAGTGCAGGAGGAAGTCCGGCCGTAATAACGCGACCCGCCAGCCGGCAGCTTGTGATTTCACCTTCATTTGATTTGTCTCAGCGGGTCTCAGATGCCCATATCCTCGCTAAGACTCCTTCATCCGCCTGGAGAAATTGGAGAAAAAAGCTTCCCATCCGTCTTTTGGTATTCCATTATTTCTCCTCCATATCCAGCGTGCCGAGACCCGACTCTGTAATTTTGCTCTCATTCGCTGCTGTTTGGCTCTTTTCCTCTGGACTTGAGCAGAAATTCAGCCCTGCGTGTCAAAGTTCAGTGTTTTAATATCGGAGAATAGCGAGGCCGGACTGCGATCCGGTTTTATTTCAAACTGTTTAAATCCCCTGCAGATGGATCTGGCCGTTCTGCGTTATAAATTAGACGGCTCTCTCGCGAGCCTCGGGCCGGCGGCTTTAGCCAGTTAATTAAATGTGTTCAGAGGAAGACTCTTGGCTAACATCACAGCGCCGGTGCCGGTCCAGCAGCGGATTATCCCGACTGAACACTGTTCTGTTGAAGCAAACATGGAGCCAGTGTGTTTTCCAGGAACCGCCGCTGATTCTCCAGCGTTACGCGCTCATATGTTCCTGCTGAAGCCATTTGGCTGTGGTGTGTTTGTGATTTGCCAGTCAGATGTTTAAGACTCACAATGAAACGCCAGATTCTACCAGAAGCTGCCAGAAGCTCAAACAATCTTGCACATAACACAGGTGTCTTGTCAGAACGCCATCACTTAAAATTTTAATTTTAAAATACATTTACATATTTTATATATTTAATCTTTTTTATTTATATATATATATATATGTATAGTTTATTTGTATTAATTTACATTTTAGATATTTTATATTACATATTTTTTATATTGTTATTGTTGATTTTTTTATCAATTTTATATATTTTTCTATTGCACATATATCATTTATTTTAAAAATATTTTTTATTGATAGATTTTATATATTTTTATATCAGATTTTACATATTGTTATTTTATGTATTTATTTTATATATATATATATATATATATATATATATATATATATATATATATATAAATT